GTGAAAGCGGCGGATGTGTTGGGAGTCGACAAAGAGTTCAGGGATCGCGTGGCGGGTGAGAGGGATAGGCTGTTATGGCCAGGGATTGGATCGTTCGGACAATTGATGGAATGGATGGAAGAACAACCCGGCGAGAAGACCGACCATCACAGACATACTTCCCATTTGTTTGGCGTATATCCCGGACACCAATTCAATTGGGAGACAACACCCACTTTGGCCAACGCGTCCCTGGTATTTATATAATTGTGATATAATTTATATTATGATTATTAGACTAACTAGACATATTCCAAAATTAATTGGCTGGCTTAACTGTAAAACATTTATGTTAAGCAATCCTACGGTAGTTTGAATTACTGTAAAACCTACCTACCTAAACTCAACCTAAATTACAAATAATACAGTGAAGCCAACCTATAGTGTACGGGGTATATGACTTCAAGTGAGCCTAATTTAATGCCCAACACTGTATTCACTGTTAAATATAGTATAATATACGATAAACACAACAAATAGGTGTCACTTAATGCCAGAGGTATAGACCCAAAGAGCGATGTGAGGGAGTGGTCGTTCGCGTGGCGGACAGCCATATACGCCCGGCTCATGGATGCCGAGAACGCCTATCACTTACTCCGCGAGCTGTTGTCCGCACGTAATACCTGTCCCAATATGTTTGGATTACACCCTCCGATGCAAATCGACGGCAACTTCGGTATAACCGCAGCCGTCGCCGAAATGCTGGTCCAGAGTCACGCAGAAGTCGTCGAACTGTTGCCGGCTCTGCCCCGGGATTGGACGGCCGGACACGCGAAAGGTTTGCGGGCGAGAGGTGGACATCAGTTGGATATTTATTGGACTAATCATACACTGAATAATGTGTTGATTAATAGTATCGTCGCGAGTGATGTAAAACTCAAATTTGGAAATACTGTCAAAACAATTACAGTGACTCCGAATAAAGCGATTCATTTGGACCACAATCTGAATCCAATTCCTTAGAGAAAATGTCATTTTATTTAATTATTGAAATAAAAGTTTTATTTTAAAATATTAGGATATATATTCATTAGTAATGAATCATTACTAAAACTTATAAATAACTATTTTTGAAAAATTGCATTAATGTAGTATATTCAATTAATAGAAATTTTCAGAAATACTTTAGACTTAAAAATATGGCTCGGAAATAATTATTAATTAAAGTATTATAAAAGAAAATAAACTAATATTTATAGTCACTCTACATTGTCACTCTATATTGTAAGCCTATTAGCATGCTATTTATAATTTTAAACAATAAATTTACATTATTACATTAACTTAAGTTTTGTGACACTTTCCAATAAATAACAGTACTTACCAACATAAATGACACATTCTCATAAATCAATTGTCACATTATATAAAAAGCACCCATCTCACCTAAATAAACATCTTACGTCACAATGGGCTTTGTGAGACAGTTTATGCTAATGTATAGCGTATTATGTAATACACTGCTATATAAACGCGTGTATCTTATGCTAAACATGCAGTTATATTTGTGGTGCTCTCTTATTAACATTGTTTTATGTATTAATACTGTATTTTCAATAAAATCTAAATTGTCCTCTTGATTTAATTGTATTTATTTAATTGTTCTCGATAAAAGCGCCTAACTACAATAGTATAAAGAAGCAAGCACATTTCTCGTTTAGCTGAGCCGGGTGGCCACCACACTCCCACCCGTAGCTCACAATATAATACCAATGTGATTTCAAGTACTAGTATTAAATTTTACGCAATGTACCAGAAATATTTTATCACAAACAGATTATCGGGATTACAGTTGATAAAAAAGGATATTTACAGTGTATGGTCTTATTAACAATTAATTTTTGTGATACATTTTATTTGATTTTATTTATTAATAATATTAACATGTATTATACAGTAGTTTAGTGGACGGGAACTATAAATAACGAGTGTCATTTTCTTTTTCATTTCATTTTTAAAAATTGATAGTTGATTAAAAATTTAATTTTCTTAACAAGGTCATGTATAAATAAAATATTTTATCAAAACCAGCTTACCAGGATTACTTAACGATAATGCTGATAAACCACTTGGAATTTAATCATACCTATTGTGAACTACTTCATATGTTCATAATTACTAACATAACTTTGATGGACCTAATACCTTTATATAATTAAAAGTGTATTTTTTAAGTTTAAGTTAATTTAGTAAATAAATATGAATTGGATATTATTTCCAATTATAATCCAGGTATTTGTCACATGTGTCCGGACGAGTGACAAAGTGTTTTGGTATGAAAGCCCGGCCGCGGATGGTATGAATGAGGCCCTGCCTATCGGTAATGGACGGATAGGTGGATTGATTTATGGACACCCGGGTTAGTCATAAAAAATAGTTTTAATAAAAATATTTAATAATTATTTACAGAATAATAAACTATGAATCACTAATCAGAAACAGAAATTAAAAGTTTAATTTATGATTAGTTTACATATAATATAATATAAATAATAAATTAATTTTTAATTATTATGGATAAGAAAATTATAGAAAAAGAAAGTATAAATGTAAATGAAATAACTTTATGGACGGGTAATGACAACCCTTCCCAAGAATATCACGGACACGATTTTGGTGACTACCAGAAATTGGGTAATATTATCATCAATTTACCCGAACATAAGGTCAACACTCAGTACATGAGAGCGCTGGATATCGGGGACGCGGTTACAACCGTTCAGTACGAATCAAATGGCGTTCAATACAAACGCGAGTACTTTGTGAGTCATGTGTCGGACGTATTGGTCGGCCAGTTGACCGCCGATAAGGGAAAGGCATACACCGGACGCATAGAACTGCAGGACTCGCATAAACTTACCGCCAATGCGGTCAACAATACGATCGAAATAAACGGAAATCTAGAGAATGGGTTGCGGTTTGCGTGGAAAGTGTTGGCCAAACACACGGGCGGTACTCTTAAAGTTAACGGCACTGTCATTGAGTTCAACGGCTGCGACGCCCTGACACTCATCGTTAGCGCCGGTACTGACTATGTGTTCGACGACTCGAAGAAGTTTAAGTCCGGCGAAGACCCAGCTGTTAGTGTCAACGCGTTGATCGGGAAGGCCTCAGAAAAATCCTACGAAACCCTACGGACGGAACACGTGTCGGATTTCCACACGTTGTTTAACAGAGTGGACGTCGATTTGGGTGAGTCGTCGGCACAACAGACGGCGTTACCGACCGTTAAACGGAAGGTCGAAGCGGTCGCGACATTCGATCCGGACTTCGAGGAAATGTTTTTCCAATTCGGAAGGTATCTCATGATATCGTCGTCGCGAACGAGTCTTCCGGCAAACTTACAGGTCAGTCATAAAATGTTTCCGATAATTTATCTAGATAAAGTTTATATATGCAGATAATTTATAAATAATGTAACTAAATATGTATGTTTAACTATTATAAATAGTAAATACAATTGTCTTGTATAGTCATTAAAGTGAAACATACTGTAAATATAAATTGACATTAATGACATTTATGATTACTTTTTCTATATTACATTTATTGAAGTTTTTTGTTTTATACTAATTATATAACTTCATATAAATATGATCAGGGTCTATGGAATGACGCCAATACCCCACCCTGGCATTCAGACTACCACGCAGACATTAATGTACAAATGAACTACTGGCCAACAGAGACAACTAACCTTGGTGAATGCCATTTGCCTCTATTCAATCTGATTCGGAGTCAATTGAGTGTTTGGCGCAAACAAACGCGAGCTTCCGATCTATTACTGACACCTGAGGGCAGGCACTCGTCAAAAGGTGTGGCCGTTTCCGGAGTGCACAACGTTTATGGAGGAATGGGTTTAATATCAATGGGTGGACACCAGGATTGGGATAAGACTGTCACAGCTTGGTATGTATATCGTAAACAATGTGCATCTTAAATATTATGTTATTATATCAGGTATGCGCAACATTTCTGGGAACATTACGCGTTCGGTTTGAATTATACATATTTAAAGGACGTGGCCTATCCTTACCTCAAAGAAGTGGTTGAGTTCTGGGACGAACATCTGAAGACTGTAACGAACGGCACTAAACAACAGTTGGGAAAACTGGTTGTCCCAAAAGGGTGGTCACCAGAACACGGACCCGTTGAGGACGGCTGTAGCTATAATCAAGAGATTGTATGGGATTTGTACACAAATTACGTGAAAGCGGCGGATGTGTTGGGAGTCGACAAAGAGTTCAGGGATCGCGTGGCGGGTGAGAGGGATAGGCTGTTATGGCCAGGGATTG